CCACACTTGTTATAGGTATCATCTGTAGGCATCCTTTGACTTTTCCCTTAGTTGGGCCCTCACTGTCTCTAAGCTGACCCTTCCTTACCAATCAGTGAAACAAAATTTTGGCCACGACCCACTGATTTGACTGTATGGCAAAAAACTATTAAGTTAGATCCTGAAATCTCCAGGCTTCTTCACACATTTCCCTGTCCCCATTTGGCACATTGCCATTACCAGCCCACCTTGTATCTTAGATCACATTAGCTTGTTACTGAAATTCTTCATTTAAAACAGTCAGCCCTGGGATGTTCCAGCAGCATTTTTTGCCTTTAGAATTTTTACGTAGAATAGCATCTGCAACTCAATTTCACTTCGACTTCCCTGTCTCCAGCTTGGACATGTCTAGAAATTCATAGTGATGTTTTGATGGAGAGTATCTACAAGGATGGGTTTGTAGTATTCAATTCAATAAGCGATTATTGAGCGGCCCGGCACGCCTACCCTAAACAGTAAATAGACGCACAGGGACCAGCACAGTGCAGGTGGCCGCTTCTGTACCATTAGCTGGAAATTATTCCGCAGACATCCATCATGTTAAACAAGATACTTCTTCACTGCCACCTCATTACTCAGGCTCACTTCACTGGAATTCTGTAACTCTGTATTTCTTTGAAGTATGGTTACAAAGTCCCACCGCTTCATAATACACATACAGGCAAAACACTCTCTACAGTGCCCAGAAGGGCAGGAGCATATTTTTGGACAAGAAGAGAAAGGGGCTCAGAGCGCAATCAAACAAAGCAAGCACACCCATCTGCCTTCACAGCAATAAGACTTTTGCATGGGACAGGTACAGTTAGAACTTAACTATGCAGAACCATGGAGGGTTAAACCAAAGCAATTTGGGAGAAAGTGATTAATGCTATTTCCTGAAGCACCCTTGCTGGTTTTGTCAGCATTTAGTGAAGAACTAACAATATTAGACTGACTCCTCATCATAGGAGGATTTACAATGCAAGGAAGCAACCCCAGATCCTGTGCTGTAGAGAAAAGGGGCCGGGCATTGTTCTTCTGCCCTCAATCCTGTCCTTTTAAGCAAGAATTTGGATGACGCCATAGAAGGTATGTTTATCTGATAATGCTGGGAGATGCGGCTGACATACTGGACAAAAAAATAATTTATATTCAAAATATGCTAGAATGCTGGGATGGAACTAAACAGGAGAAAATCTAGTACGCCAACACTCAGGTCATTAAACGAGCTGTGCAACCAGGGCAGCCAGTGAAAGCAGGCATGGAGAGCTTATGAGCCAACACTGAATACCGCTACTAGACACATGTACCAGGGAGGAAACTAGGCAGAGTAGCCCTGGAACAAGAAGCTGAATGTGTATTAGTTAGATCACATCTGTAGGATCAGGTACCATTCTGGAGGCCCCACTTTATTTCGATCATTCCACACTGAAGGAAATCCAGAGGAAGGCAGCCAGGATATGGTAGGGCATGAAAATACATTAATATAAGGAACAGCTGGAGAAACTGAGGACTTCTAGACAGAAGATGAGGAGAGAAGACAAGACAACCATCTTCAAATATCTCAAGCCCAGGAGTTGCCACTAGCCCAAGATGGTACAACTTGAGGATTAAAATGAATACCTGACAGTAATGGATTATAATCCATTAACTAGTAAAATAACCCATGAGCCAATGCTAACAATAAATATCTAAGCCTTAGATCCTCAGGGCTAGCAAATGGAAAGAGGAGTAGAGTTGCTCTGTTTATAGACAGGTAAGTTGAAGCTATCTCCCTTTAGGTGTAGTATGGAAAAGAATCTGCTGTCAGCTAATGAAGGAAGACGGCAGAACTCTACTCAAGAAGTAGATCCTCACAGTTTGTGAAATAATTGTGTACTCTTATTCAGAGCGTCTAAACTTTCGTTTTCCCTCCAACAGTCGTGGGAAATTAACCCTTACTGAATGTCTAACAGGTGGCAAGTAAATGTGCTTGTCTTACAGATAGGGAAATTAAGGCGCAGTAACTCACACAACAGGACACAGAGGGTAACCACTAGAGCTGGGATTTGAACCTGGGTGTGCCCAAACTCCTTCCACCCCACCACAGCACACAAAATACACACAAGGTGATTGGAGAGGTACCCGAGGGCCCCGAAGCTGTGGTTCTTTAATGGTTACATTTTCCTCATCTACCCAGCATAGCCCTGCCACTGTTCTCTTCTTCTGGATTAGAAGACGAAGACTGGGGTCTTTTCTAGAAACCCATTGTGAAGATGACCCTGATCCCTGCAGAGGGACTCTGCCCTATTCCCTCCCCACAGCTGCCCCTCTTTGCCCTTCTCTTGAATGTGGTTCGGTTTCCCTGAATCAGTCCATTTTTGTTATCCTGCTCTTCTTCAGAGTCTGTTCACCTGACCACTTGGAAAGCAACAGAGACCAGTCTCCTGGTTTTCTGGTACAGTTAGGGGAAAATTTAACACTGTTGATACATCTCTGAACTCAAAGATACCACTTACTGGTTTGCCTGACGAAGGGGAGTGTAGGTGAAGGAGGGCACATGGCTGTCCTGTTATTACCGTTCTGTGTCAGAAGAGTAAGGACATTCTAAATTATAGTACGTGGTCACAGATAGGCCCTCTGTTTTATTCTGAAAGTGTGACTACTTCTAGGCGATTCTTCAGGGTTCCTGTATAGAACACAGAATCTCCCATCATCCCCAGACCCACTACCCATGTTTCCCAGGGCCTGAGAAGGGAGTTAGGGGTTCGTGTTCCCAAACAAACCAGGTTCTCCAGCTGACTATTGCTTTCTGCTTGGTGGTAAGGAAACTTCGAGGCTTCTTGAGCATATTTAAAAATACAATGTTTGTGTATCTGGCTGCTTTCCGACCAGCTGTTTTAGCTGCCTCCTGATACTGGAATTTCCTGAGATCAGGGACTGTGTTCCCTCTGTTCATTGATCCCACAAGCCTTTCCTGAGCATCTGTGTGTGCTGCGGGCCAGGGACAGGAGTGAAGCAGACAGACAACCTTGCCCTCATCAAGGCTCAACGGCCTGGCTAGAGAGACACACATCGAACGAGAATTACACAAATAAGGATTCACATTCAACAAATAACCCACATCTCTCTACAGTATCCAGCACAGAGCTCAGCACGTGGTGGGTGCTTTTTCAAGAATATGTGACTAATGTTTTTGTGGAATGTGCAGAAAGACTGACCAGCTGAGTTCATCCTAGCATTGGGAGTACAATGCCTTGACCTTTGGAGTGAGAGAAAAAACATGACAGTGAAGCAGAATGATCTGGGTGCTAGTTCCTGCTTTTCCACGAACTACTAGAATTTTCCTGGGTGAGTTACTCAATCTTTCTAGGCCTCAGTTTCCTTATTTATAGAATAATATGTAAGTAACCAGGATTCTTCATGAATTGTGACATGCCTGCCATCGGAAGTGTTCTAATTTGGCCTCACTTACCTTGCCAGAAGACAAGGAACGGCTGGAGCCGAAGACAAGACAAGTGGCTCTGGCACAGGGGTCTGTGTCTAAGTCAGGGCTGTGGGAAGATGCAGTAGCAGCTGGAAGGGATGGATCCCCTGGACCGTGAAACTAAGAGCCTCTCTCTGAACATGGGAAATGCTGCATTTTGCTTCCCACCCACTGACTGTTTAAAAAGAAACACTCATTCATAGGATATTCTAGGTTACATTTCTAAACAACAGATCAGAGGAGAAAGGAAAGTACAGGAATAGTTTTCTTTGTATGTTTTTACAAGTGGAAAAAAACAATTTTCCATCCACTCTGATAGTCAAAAATGGCTTAGAAACTTGAAGGCAGGATGTCAGACAGAATTACCTTGAATGTTCTTGAATACTAGTCTAGAGCGTGACTTAGCACCGTGATCTTGGAAGGTCTGGGGCACAGTCTTTTTTTTTTTTTTTTTTTATCCCAGTAAGAAAAAAAAAAATTAGGAAAAATCCTAATGAATTCAGATCATCTTCAAAAAAACCCCATAACATAGAAAACAAAAATGAAGCAAGGACACAGTCTGTTGCCTAAGGCTGAAGGACTAGACCAACACACTAGGTCTTGATAGACTAGGGCCAAATCATCTTTGGAATTCCATCCCTTCATTCATAAAATCACTAACATGCAGCAAAAGATCATCTCATACTCATTGACCCTGAGGTAAGCAAATGAGAGTTGAGCTGGAGACAAAAATCTTCCCATTCCTGCCAAATTTAGACAGCTGAATTCTTCCCCTGGCTTGAACAAATACACTGGGTCTTCGCTACTCCTTTCTTGTACTCTCCTTCAGAACTCCTACCTTCTGCTTACTTGCTCCAAAATATAATAGACCAAGTGACCAGGCTTTCTCGAAAAGACTACTACATCCCTCCAAGCTGCTTCCCACACCACTTCTTGGTCCTCTGCCCCTCAGAAACTGAACCCCAATACTCTGGCCAGAGGAAGGCATCCTTTCCACCGGAGCCCCTTCAGAGAAGAGGCCCCTACCAACCAGCATCTCTGTGGCCATTTGCCAAATCACTGGTCTTGGTCTAACTTTAGATGAGCCTATTCAATCATTATAAATATGAGCCAGTCACAGCCACTAAGGTCTCAGGAAACCATCCCAGCCTCAGCCCCTGAGGTCCAGCTTCCCAGGAGGCAGAGCCACCCAAGCAGCCCAGGCGGGGTATCTCCGGAGGACAGGACACCCAGACCCTCTCACCCTTCACCCTTGCCACATCCTCATCACTTCTGCTAAACTCCCATGACAGGAGAGGTCTGGCTGGTCACCTGGTCTTCTATCCGCCCAGACAACATCTCCACACTGTGACACACCTCCTCCAGCCCTGCTCTTTCCACTTTGGCTGGCACAAAGAGACAACTGACTCCTGAGGTTGGGTTCCATAGTGGGAGAAATTCCTCTGGGGCTAATTCTCCAGGGGTGGTGAAGCCAACAAGAAGTCTTAGGGGAAGGAAGGTTGGGACACTGTCCTACCTTGTCACTGTCCACTGTATTCTGAGAGGTCCTGGAGGCGATGGAGATGGTGTCTGGCTGGCTGCTCCCATCCCCCTGGCTGTCAACATCCTCCACTCCATCCCTGCAGGCAGAAGAGAAAAAAAAAACAGGGGTGGGGGTGGGGGGAACCACTGTGGGTTTAGAGCACACAAGGATTTCCAGCTGGTCTGGCAGAGCAGAGCCTCAGTACTTTCTAGCAGGGATTTGTCTAAAATTATCCCACTAAAGAGAGCAGCCCTATGTGATTTTCAAAGATGTCACCTCTTGTACTTAAAAAGCACACAATCCCTATGCTGATAACTGAGCATGAAATGGCCCCTCCATAACTCCTCTGGCCCACGGTGCAGAGGAGGTGATGATTTATTTATTTTTTGACTGGGAATGGGTCTACAATAGGCAGTTAGAAGAGGTCCACCCTACTTAGAACCTAGGCGTCTACCCAGCTGACTGGGTGATCCCCAACAATCCCAGAGTTCAAGGTATTCGAATAGTTTTTCTGCATGCTGAGGGAGGATGGGGGTTAGTTTATAGCTGGCCTATAAAGAAAACAGAACTGAGAAGAATATATATATATTTTTTACTTGTATTTCTTCTGTTCAAGAAAATAACATGAGATATTTCCTCCACGTGAGATTATCTTTGGGAAGTTGCTGATGTTGGATGCTCATCACCTGGGTATGGAGGAAGAGAGCATTTCCTTCATTTTGGTGGGTCTTGTGGATCTCGTGCCTGTTTATGATGACTTCGTATCAACACAGAAGGCCAAGGCCCCATCTCAAAGACCCCAGATTGCACAGCAGCTTTCTGAGTCATCTGTGCTCCTGAGCATCTAGTGAAGTAATCTCCTGAGTGCGCTCCTGACATCTGGAGCCCTTCCTGGGTCGCTGGACCATATAGCTGTCCCACTCACATGTCCCTTCAATTCTCTAGTGTGAGAATTAGGTCTCAATCCTGCACTGAACCCATAGCCAGGGCCAAGGGGGATTAGGTGCCTGGGAACTGGTGAAGGCTGAATGGTCCGTGTCAGGAAAAACTGAAGGAGATGTGGGCCAGGACTTGGATAAATGAGCACCAAGAGTGTCCACTCTTCCCATGGAGGCTTGTGAAAGTCTCACCCCTGATGCTGCTTCTGGAGAGGTAATGGCATTGGGAACTTGCTGCCCGAGGATGACACCACGTGGGCAAAATGCCCCATGTACAAAGTCGCCTCACAGAGTCTCAACAATTACAGTCTGGTGTACGTGGACATGTGTGTGCAGGTGGGCATGCATGTGATACACAGGTATATACACAGTATTTCCTAGTCTTACAAAGGGTCTTCTTCTACCTAGAATGCTTCTAGGTCAACTGCCTTCTTACCATCACTTGCGGGGGTGGGAAATGCCAACTTATTTTAATAATATAAGCCACACATTCGTAGGAAGGAAGATCTGCTGTAAAACGAAATTATGTGATGCATTTCAAAACCAAGAATAAAGGACTCTTAGATCATCTGCTGTTTTAGATACCTGGGCCGCTGCTCCCCACCATTTGCCTACAGTTGAGGGTTGGCTGTACTTTGTGCTTCCCACCCTTCTGGCCCATTGCAGGCCCTTCTGGCCCACTGCAGATAAAGCCAGGTCTGGGGGATGTGGGGAGCCCATCCAGGAGTGGGGGTGCTCTCCAAGCCAATTCACTCCTCTGTAAACTCTGTCCCCGCCTCCTGGGAGCCAAGCTAATGAAATGACAGACAGCCTTACTGTTCTCTGCAGACTCTGCCCAGGGTTTTCACTCTCTTATTTCAGGACAATGACAGAAAAACGGTGGGAGGCATTTCCAAGAAAGGTCCATCTCATGTTCTATAGATGTCCAGACTCTACTACTGAGGGAAAAAGGGGCTCTATCACAGAGACGCTTGAGCCAACCTCACCTGAATATCCATTCTTTCCTTTCCTGCATGCTGTTGGACATTTTCTTAGAACATTTCCACTCTATCTCCTTTATTAGAGTAGGGGCTTCCTGCAGCAGGGTGGGTCCCTGGCGCTAAACTAAGTCTGCCCCTTCCCTTTATTCTGGACATGGGTAACTGAAATCAAAATAACCCCTCCTCCAATACAGCTCTAATTTGTCCTTCCAGCACTGAGAGGTGACCTTATCCTGGCCACGCAGGTCTTGGGGCTTCTGGCCTGTGGAGGTATCTCTGCCTACCTTAGTGACACTCTTCTTCTGGCTATCACCTCCCTTTGGACTAATGCTGCTACTCTGCAGGTCCTCAGGTCCATGTATCCTGGTTGGCACCAGAAGGTCAACTAGATCTTTGGGATTTAGTCCATTCATGAATAGTGGAGGAAAGGCGAGCCTATTACCACCAGCGACCATCACCCCCAGAACTTTGTTTTTTTCCCAAGGTTATCATGATGTTTTTTATATGCTTTCATTTGAAGTGCCCTCTAAGAGAGTCATTGTAGGTGACTGTTCCATGGAGATTTGAGAAACAGTTAGGAAGCCTTCCATCGGTGTAGGGCAACTGGGATTCGGAAGGGCCCAGAGAGGTGAAGATACAAAAAATCAGTCCCCTTCTGCCCAATCACCTTGCTTATCTCAGATAACTGAAGGTGAGGACTTGGGGGTTACAGAAGAGCTGCAGTGATAACCCCACCACCCCATCCCCCTGCCATTACCATATACAAAACTCCTTTACTGTCTCGTCAGTCCACTCATGGCCTACCTCCCTCTCAAAGCCTTCCCTGGACGTTCCTCTCTAGTGCTCATCTAAAGTCCCCTCTCAATGAATTTTTACAGCATTTACTGTCCCCACGGGTGGCACTGGTTCTTCTAGACTAACTGTTCCACGTGTGAGATACAACTGTTAGATGGTTCTAGAGGGCAGGGGCTCATCGTGCACTTCCCCTTCTCAGAGCACCTAGCAGCGTCTGTGAAATAAGAGGTGCTCGATGGAGCCCTGCTGAATATAACTGGCAGGAATGGTGAGATGCTCAGAGAGGAGATTCCTCATCTTAGGGCTTCATAGAGAGGGGTGCCAACTGCAGAGCGCACTGCTCCTGTGGGAGCAGAGGGCGACCCCACTCCCGCTCCTGGAGCACATGAGGCAGTGCTTGGGGGGGAGAGATGCTGGTTACCTCTTACTATTGTTCCTCTGTTTGGCTGGTGTTTTGGGGAGCTGAATTGGCTCCTTTAAAGCTCCTTTCAGGTGAATGATCCTTTCTTGAATCACCTCTCGAATGTTCTTGATCCACTCTTGCTTGGTTTCTATGTTGGAGGCCTGGGGTGCCACAGAGAGAAAGAGTAAACACCCCATCTCCCTTTGCCCTGCCAAAACAGTTCTCAAGCCTCCTCCTGCAGGCTTAACCCATTATTTTCAAGGACACCAAATGTTTGAGGAGCTCATTTCTCATTTTACACGCATGACTCTTCAATCCCAGGGACACACTCCTTCAACTTCTAGAATGGGGCTAAGACCTCAATACTCAATGTAGACTTGTACAGAAGTGATTTTCAAAGTATTTAATACTCTGTGTGGCACTGACCAATACTGACATCTGCCCTGGGGCACCTGAGTGGCTTAGTTGGTTGAGTGTCTGTCTGCCTTTGGCTCAGGTCATGATTCCGGGGTCCTGGGATCAAGCCCCGTGTCAGGATCCCTGCTCAGCGGGAGTCTGCTTCTCTCTCTCCTTCTGCCCCTCCCCGCTGCTTATGCTCTCTTTCTCTCTTTCTTGCTCTCTCTCTCTCTCTCTCAAATAAATAAGTAAATAAGTAAGGAAGTAAGTAAATAAATAAATAAATATCTTTAAAAAAATATTGCCATCTGCCTTGGGGCTGGAGCATATGTAGAGGTCCCCTGCTGGGTCAGGGATGAACACATCAATTGCTAGATGCTGGGGAGGTCTGGGGAGTACTGGGAGGGGTAGCAAGGGATATTTGAAGGCAGTGGCTATTTACCAAGTGGTACAGATCCATGTCAGCACGTTCAACTCCTGGTATGCCTACATACATAGGTTTGTGCTGCCTCAAAGTCAGGGCTGGGTTTTTAGCCTTGTAAACACGTTCATTGAAGGCACTTCTGCCATTTCATGAACATCCCATTTGTCTTTGTGGAATTGTTTTCAGGTAATTCTGTCTCATGGCAGGTAGAGCTAGGCTGGCAATTCAGAGGGAACAAGTGTGAAGCATTTGTCAGGGTCGGACCATCTCTTCCTTGGTGGCAGCCACCCCAATAAGCAAATGACTGGTGGGAGCCCCATCTGCAGGACCCCTTCCCGGTTAGATGCATGTTACCACAAGCCCAAAACCCCAGGCTGCATGTGCTCTGGAGAGCTGGAATGACTCCTTAAGGCTGTCATCTAGTGAAAGGCCCTTTCTTAGCACTCCTTTCAATCAACATATTCACCCCGTTAGTGTGATTTACTAGAGCTCTAGAATGTAAGTTTCTGGAGGACAAGGTCCATCTCTCATGCGTAGCTAGAAGCAGTACTGAGCAGAATACCTTCTGTGCAGAACGTGTTCAAGAAAAAGTATTGAATGAATGTGGAGCAAATCAAGGTAGCTTTTGCCAAAAGGTCAGTTGTCCTTGCCCTTGAAGAGGACATATGGACAGAACATATTTAAGTGGGCCCTGCTGAGACAGCCCAGCAGGCTACTCCCTGCCTCCCTCCCTCTAGGTACACATGAGGGGAGGGACTTAGAAGACCACTGGTCTTTGAGATTTCTTTTTTTTTTTTTTTAACATTTAATTTATTTATTTGTCAGAGAGAGCACAAGCAGAGGGAGAAGCAAGCAGAGGAAGAGGGAGAAGCGGGCTCCCCATTGAGCAGGGAGCCGGATGTGGGACTCGATCCCAGGACCCTGGGATCGTGACCTGAGCAGAAGGCAGACGCTTAACCGACTGAGCCACCCAGGCGCCCCTGGTCTTTGAGATTTCAAGTCTACTTCCATGAAAGAACTTGCTTTTTAATACCCATGGGATACTGCCCTCCCCGTGGAGTCTCCAGGCCCCAGCTTTCAGGAAGAACATGCTGCAGCCCTCTGCCCTCCTCCTGCTACCCGCAACCCTGGGCGAGTGCCCAGCGGAGAGCAGTACTTACTTTCAGCACTGTTTTATTGTCTGAGGAGGGGGTGCGCCCAGACCACAAGGCGAATTTGCAGGGATCACCTTCTACGTGCTCGGTCACACCCAGCTCTGAGGTCTGTAGACAGGAAATGCCTGTGAGAGGCGGGGAAGGGGAGGGCAGTGGGGAACTTAGGGCTGGGGTGGGAAAGGGAAGGGCAACAAAGAGGAGAGGACCGAGGGAGGGGCTTCTGTCAATCAAACTTCAACAGACTGGATGCTTGTTCAGCTACCCGGATGAAAGGACCTGCAGGTGCCTGCCAGATTAGCAGGTGGCAGGGAGGGAGGGTGAAGAGGGAGGCACTAAAAGCAGACAGCAAGAAGACCGGTGAACTCTAAGATGCAGAAGTGGGAGTCGAGGGGGGGGCAGCTTTCCAAATAGGAGGCATTTTCATTTGTCCAGGACGGTTTTGGTGTGGTGCCAGGGGGAGAGATGAGCTGAGTGTTCAAGAGCCCTTTCTGCCCGAAGGCTCTATGACAACAGGGGGACTTGTCTTACCCCACCTGCCCCACCTACCAGTAGCTTGTTCTTGTAAACATATTTCGTGTGTCCTGAAGAGTCTTTGATCTCCTTGCTAAAAACCAAGGAGATCTCAAAGAGGAACAGGTGCCGCTCCCGCCCCTTCCGGATCAGCGACTTTGGGTCCCACACTTGGAAGGCATCCTGGAGAATCAGCTCTCCCTGCACATCCAGGTTCTCGTCGAACCCTGAAAGACACCCGTTCCCACCCCATGGAGTTTCTCTGGTGCCACGTGGGTGCCACATTCCACTCCCCGCTTGGAAAGGCTTCCCTGACCATGAGCCCCCCATTCCCACAACGTTGGCTCTCTGGGCTGATTCCCGAGACTCCTCAATACTTGAGGAGACAGTTCTAGGGAACAGTAAGCAGATCCCCCTTCCCACACCACGTCTCCTACGCATAACCAGGATCAGTGGCATCTCCCCAAGACCTGGGACCTCCTGCGAGGGCAAACCCTATGTCACCTTCTCCCTACAGTTCCCCACCAACTCAGAGCACTGAGTGGGGCTGAGGACAAGCACTGCTGGATGGAGGAGTGCCCTTGACTCCACTTGATTTGTCCTTGCTTTATTTCTTAGGTTCCATTCCTAGGACTCTTCCCTTTGACGGCTCCTGTACAGTGTGGTGCACACACCTTCAACAGTTCCATTTATTCCACTTTAAATTTTAACAGCGGTTCTGAAACTTAGTATGTGTAAGAATCACACAGATTCCTACCGACCCCTGCCCCCTCAAGAGACTGGGATTTGGTAGCTGTGGGGTGGAGCCCAGGAATCTGCTCTTGGGACAACCTCTCAGGTGTTGCTGTTGCTGGTGCGCAGACCGTACTCGGAGTAACTGGCTTCAGAATACAGGGCAGGGACAGGCTGGAGGAGAAGGTTTGCTTGCAGGGGAGAATACCCAGGGCTGGGGATGAGGATCAGGTGCAAACAGAAAAGAAAAGGGTGGAGAAATCGTGGCAAGAGGAGTAGGTTCAGACGGCCAGCGCTTAGTCTGGAGAAGGTCACCAGGGCTCCATTGCATGGAGAACTATGGCTTCCTCTGCTCAGGGTGACCCAGGAAGTGGTGAGACCAGACCAAGTCTTCTAGACGGAAGGTGGGGAGCGGGGGAGGGGAGGTGATGACGGGAGATGGAGCCCGGAGGAGAAAACACAGCCCACAGGTTTGCACAGTTGCAACAGAGTACATTTCTGTCCCACAACACCTGTTTGCCAGCCCAGACTGGGATGCCGAGTCTGAGCTCCTCTAACAGTCCCGCCCCGGCATGGCTGATCTGCACATCTGTTCTGCAGTGGTAAGAGCACTTTATTGGAGTCTCACTCTACCGGGTCTCTGGGCCCCAATAACACGGTTCCAGTGGACTACATGTGCTTGGGCAAAGTCCAACTTGGACCTGGTCCTACCTGGTCCTACCTGGAGGCAGGTATTGGTTGAGCTGGCCCCTGTGGAGCTCCTCTCATACCTCCTAAGGACAAATGTCCTAAGGACCTATATCCTCAACTTGCCACTTCTCCTCTCTTCCAGCCTTGCCCCTTGCCTGACTTCATACAAGTTCTAGACCACGATACAAGCTCCCTGGTCTTAGGAAAGGAGGAGGCTCCCCCGGGGAGGCTGGGAGGACAGACAGCTACCTTCCAGCATGCTGACATGCATGGCATCATTGGCTTTCTTTGGGACACTGAGCATCACCTCCAGGCCATCCTTGAGCTCCCCCTTCCCTTCTTCACAGCAAGTTAAAAGTTCCTGGGGGGAAAAAGTCCAGACACAATTAGAACCATTTGTCCCAGCTTCCCTACCCTCCCACCACCTAACCCATCAAGGTGATTACAGACCAGCTTCATTCTCTGTAATGGTTCCCTCTAAGCTATAAGGAAAGTGGGGTAGGATGTTATCTCCAAAGAATTCAACCACAATTTTTTCCCAGACTGAGCTTCCTCAGCTCAATCTAACCTAAGCTAACTCAATTCAACCCAACTCTCAAATGCCTGGCACTGTAAGTCAGCAACCTAGGGCATTCTCTGTCACTTGATTACCCTCCTGGAGAAGGAAGTACCCCTGGCAAAGCACACAAACAGAAGGTCAGTACTGTGGAATCACAAAGAGAAGACAAAAGGTGTGCAAAGAATGCATAGCACTCATATATCCCTGCACGCCTATTGCTGGCACCATGTTTATTTACATACCTCTGCTGCCTAAATCCTGCCTTCCACCATACTGGGAGCAACCTGGGGTTATAGACATTATAGGTTTACAGCATCTCAGAGTTATAAAATATTTTTAGATCGTATAAATCAGGAGTTCCTAGCCTGGGACCAGTAGATGGGATTCTGGACTAGTCCTTTTTGAATCTTAAATCTAGACTCCAAGTCCAGTACTCCATCTGCCATGCCAACCATGTCCCCCATGACCTCCACCACACTAAGACTTCCCAGAGCATGCCTTCTCTTACTTCCTCGTTGAAGACTAGGTCATTATTATCTCCACAAAAGACATACAGTATCTGCTTGATGGAGAAAAGATAATTTTCAACTATCTTAAAAATTATAAGGACCATTTGAAATGATTTTCCCCAAGCCAGAGGAATGTTGGCTTTCATTTTTCCTATGAAGGTTATTGTAAATTTTGCTCATTTTGATACTGAGAAGGAAACAGTTAAGCAACAGATCTGCAATCCATACTCTCTCCTTCTAGGGAGTAGGGGGAGGCAGGGGATGGGTGATGGGTAAGATGCACTTCCAGGAAAGAAAGAAGTTGACCAGATCAAATCTTGTAAACATGTTAATGTCAGACCTCCTGGCAAATAAACTAAGGGTACTAGCTAGCAGGAGAGTCTTCATCTATGGAATGCTTCTAGTAGGATATATCTGGCCTAAGACTTCTTGTGGTAACAAAACCCTGAATCTATGGCTTTAGGGGCATGGTTCCCTGTAAAATATCACAGATGCTATGCCACTATCTGAGTAAAAAGTTAGTATATTTCATACCAAAATGGTGCTCTTTAGGGTAAATGATCTGAGACAACATACGCCATGTAGAAGGTCTGTATGTTAGTCTGGGCCACAGCACATCCTGAGGCTCCAAGAAAGGACTTGGAGCTGTTGGTGGTCCTGGACTTCTCTGTGCTTTATCTCTGCCTTGGGATTATTTGTATCCTTGACATTAATAGTAAAGCTTTATACTTGGTAAGATATCTGATTAGTGAGTATCTGACATGAACACCCAATCCTTTGTGTCATCTCAGATACATTCCCATATGAAGAAGGGAGCTTTGAGTGTCCAAAGGAGAGGTGAACTACCTTGAGCATGTTTGGGAGGCAGAAGTGATCAGTTCTCAGCTCTGTCCTTGGCTCCAGCGAGTGTAACGGCGTCATTGTTCAGAAAGTTGCATTTATTTCTACCAACCTGAAGTTCTCTGATTCTTCCCATCCCTTTCCTAACTTTAACCCTCCCGACCTAGTTCTCATATATCCTCAAAGGAATCGCTAGGCAGAAGCATAAGAGACAAATATGAAATACGATTCAGTGTGCAACAGAAAATACCAATTGGTTCGACCCCCCAAAGCAGTGTGGCAAGTCCACCAATCAGCCAGCAAAGCCAATAAGTTCTCTTTGGGCCCTTGTTATAGTTGATGTTAAGGAGAAGGCTCCACATTTAATTTAGACTCCAAAAGGACAGCTGTAGCAGATTTACATGGAAAATATTGAACACCAACTGACATATAGCTTTTATTTTCATGCAACACCCAAAGTGAGGAACCCCAGAGGATACTAATAATTAAATATCAATATATTTGGAATAAGACTGTCTTTAATGAGAAAATAAATCCCACACTGCTTATTTATAGTAAAAGCTCAGCAAACTATTTTTCTTTTACTCAGCAGGTACTCTGCTACTGGTGCCTTTATGAGTTCCAAATCACCTTGGTAAGTCTTTTTTCCCCAATAAGAATTTTACAACTTTGCCACAATCCAACTCCCACTACTTCATTTTCTTCCTTCTCAGTTAACTGCACAGTCGTCTCTTCCTAAGACACCCAATTACAGAATGAAGGCCTAGCGCCCTAAAGCAAAACACAGGGCATCCTCTCCATCCTCCATGTCCTTGCCCTGTCCGTGTCACAAAATTATCCTGGGAACCTCAGCCCCCTGGGATTCAAAGGGAGAGGTGAAAAGCTACAGCGGAATCGGATCTTACTTGGGTTAAAGTACTGGCAGTGTGGATGGGCGAGTTTCTATTTTGTTTTGCTTTTTAATTTACAACCCCACTAATTCCTGAAAAGGCACTGGGACACTTAAATGTAATGACCACAAAAATGAATTCTAAAATATCTTCTGGTACAAGAAAAATCATGTAGTGGGTCAAGCATTAAATGGGCTAGGGAAGGAGGGGATAATTATACACAGAAAAATGGGCCAAGGAGAAACTAGTCACAATACAGTAGTAGTCGTAACAGGACTCAATGCTAATTATCTGATAGTCAAAGGCAAAGAAGAGCTAGAGCTCTTGTGATTTACAGGTAGAGGGCACACCAACGATTTCGGAGAGAATACCCATACCCCACTCTGAGATCTTATGAGAGTTTCTGTGAGTCTTTATACAAGGAACTTCAAAAAACAAAGAGGACATCTTCAAAAGCAATTCTGCTAAAATAGCCAAGATGCTCTGCACATTGTTACTTCTCACACAAGGCCTCAGTAAAGGCCTAGGGCATGATGCCGTGTGGTAATTCTCTAAGGCATCCCTCCAGGGCTGGATGACTTGAGTGCCTGGAAGCAGAAGCCCAAAAAGTCTCTTCTTGGAGACAAGGAAAGAAGATGTTTGAAGGTGGAGCCAGAAGGATGGGGTGAACTCGTCCTTGCTCTGACCCAGAATGGGGAAGAGGTCCAGGGCACCGGCTGGCTGGTGCCCCGCTCTTCTCATCATGGAACCACACTGCTATGCAGGGAGACCCCAGGGGCTTGATGGGGGGGCACTCCAGTGTGAGTAGAAACCTAGGTTTGAAACTAGACTGGTTTTCAGGTTTAGTGAAGTTAGAATATGTGAGATTCTGCAAGCATCTCTACACATGAGTTGAATTTCAGCAGATTTTCTCTGGAAATATACTACTTAGAACATGCCTCCCACTATCCCTATGTCCTTTGCATTTGAGGAGCCACCAAGCAAAGTATTCAAACTTAGGGAAAACTTCACCCTTATATCTTGAGAATTGATATGCATAGGGATTCCATAACTGCTTATAGGATCTGTTTTCCAGGCTTTCTGTGGGGGAAATGTCATATTTTCAGATGGTCAGTGTCTCCTTTCTTAAGAAGAATCAGCGCAAGTTACTTAGTATTTCATATAGTTTGATTATTTGAAATTTAAAGAAAATATTTTGGAGAAAATCCAAATCTTTTGCTTGGCTCCAAAAGAACCCCTACCTAACATATGGATGGGATCCTCCAGACACAAGAGTGCCATTTTGTTTTAATCTGCACTCTCAGAAACTTCATAGTCTTGACAAACAGAGATTAAGGCAATGGTAGGTGCCACCCTGGGCCTCTGTTGCCTATGTAGACTGGCCTTGCCCTGAATACCTTGACCCCTGACCCTATCTGAAGCAGGGGCCACCGGGAGGAATCTGCCCCAGGGGGGCGGGGGGAAGGGCAAGTGAGGCCCCACGTGTCAGCCAGGGCCTGGGGTGGCAACTGCTCCAAGTTGTGCAGTGGTGGGCAGGTGTGGAGACAGTCACAACTAGTTCCTGCTCTCATTCTCCTCTGTCCCCACAACAAATAAGCACCCAGAATTTCACGGATAGGTCATGCAGTCTGGGAGCCCGCAAAGCCAGTGTGGGTTCATCTCTGAAGCTTTGCTGCAGGTGGAGGCGAGGTCTCGAGGTAGAAGCTGTCCCATCCTTGGGCAAAGCTGGGACTCCCTGGACCTGGTCGGTAGTGTGGGAGGGGGTGACACAGTGGGGAGGGGAGGTACCTTCAGGAGCAGTTGGTACTTGGTGATCCTCTGGACGGGTTTGATTAGGTAGGAGGAGATGGAGTTGGCCAGACCGTGCCGCTGCTGTATTTCCTGCAGGGGTGACAACAGGTGCCATTATGCACAGAGGGGCACGGGTGTGCATGCGTGCATGCGTTTGTGTGTGTGTGTGTGTGTGTGTGTGTGTGTGTGTGGAGGAAGTAGGCACGGTGAGAAGAAAGAAGAAGAAAAACGGTTGACAGTTATGAGGAACTGTTCTTTGCTGGAGAGAGAAACAAGAGAGACCAAGATGAATGTATAAATAGAGAAAAGAAGAGATGGCAAAAGGGGAGGGAAAGCAGATTTGTGTGACAGAAATGGAAATGAAGAAGAACAGGGGAAGGATAAAAGTGGAAAAAGGAAGTGAGGAGTTAAGTAACAGACAGAAGGGTAAAGGAGAGGTGGTGGAGCACAAGTAAGAGGGAATAAACCCAGAGCAGAAGCAATCACAGGGGGATAGCAGGACGATGAGAACAAGCGGAGGCAGAGAGCAGGGCTGGGAGGTCTACACTGATGGCTCCTGAGTCTTTATCCCCTTACAACAGCACAAGGGGTATCTCCTTTCCACCCCCTTCTCTCCAACTTAAACCCACCCCAACATGTAATCACCTCTGCATTCCCTATAACTTATTCCTGGTGATCCACGGCACCTCCCTCGTTCTTCAGATCTCTTGAGCTGGCAACCATGGGGTCACTGTTAGTTGTTTAACTTGTGTTATCCCTGGCCACAGGTCTTTCCTCTCCACCCTGTTCACACTCAGGCTACAGCCGTGACCTCCAGCTGCTGTTTGTGCCTCTAGCCTCTTTTTAGTCCATTCTCTATCCTACCTCCAAAATGATCTTCCACTCCCCAAGGTGTAGGTGCTGTGAAAGGGTAGTGAAGGGTCCATGTGGTTCCCTGCCTCAAGAACCTTCCACCCCAGGCCGCTGAGAACACTCACATACATAAAGTAGCAACAAAGGAGATGGAAGGTATTCCCGGCGAGAACAGAGAGGAATGGCTGGGCCAGGAGTGGTGGAGGGTTTAGGAGAGATAAAGTCTTCCACTGAGGTTTAGAAGATAGGTGGGGAAGGAGGGGAAGTGGAGAAGAGCAAAGCTGGATGAATGGCATTCTATAAATGGAAAACATATTTAAGAAGTCCACAGGAAATAATCTTTGTGGATTTAGATGATAATGGGGACCATGCAGAATGGTACAGAGGATGCACACCTAGAATCCAGAAAAAATGAAAAATACAGTTAGATAAGCAAAGTGTATTTAGGTCATGGATGGGGTTGAGCTAGATGAAAAAAATCAGGATTTTGGTGGTGAGCTTCTTAATGGTAAAGTATTGTAGATCTTAAATAGAAGAAAAACATGGTGAAAGCACTCTTTCAGAGAGTCATATAAGCCTCATAGCAAGGGTGGAGGTTGGAAAATAGAGGCAGAGAGACCCGTTAGGAGGTTATTGAAAAATCCCAAGGGTGCAAACATAGAGTTGCCATGTGATCTAGCAATTCTACTCCTAGGTATATGCCCAAGAGAAATGAAAACATATGACCTTACAAAAACTTAGATACAATGTTTATAGCAGTATTATTAATAATGATGAAAAAGTGGATACAACCCAAATGTCCACCAATTGATGAATGGAAATATACGATGTGGTACACCTACACGATGGAATATTATCGGGCCATAAAAAGGAGGGTAGTGCTGATACATGCTATAACATACATGGGGCCTGAGAGCATTATGCTGGTGAAAAAAGTCACAAAAGAACACATATTACATGATTCCATTCCTGTGACATGTCTGAAATAGGTAAATCTATAGAGATAGAAAATAGATCATTGGTTGCTTCGGGCTAAGGAACAGATGGGAGGATGAGGTGGGGGTGATAGCTAAAGGGTGTGGGGTTGCTTTCTGAGGTGATGAAAAAGTCCTACAATTGACTGTGGAGATGGTTGCGCCTATCTGTGAATATATGAAAACCCTGAGCTTGTTCACTTTAAATACACGTATAATCAATAGCTATAGCTGTATCTATCTCTATCTCTAGGTGTGTAACACGGGCTTGCCCTGAGCTAGGGTCAGTGAGGACAAAGCACTGGAGGAATACAGGAAGCACTTTAAAGTCACAGGACTTGCTATGCGGCCGTGGAGGAGGGTGAAGAGGAATTAAAACAATGATCGAATTCCTGCCAACTATCCCAGAAAGTAGCAACTTTCTCAGTCATCTGCCTCTTCGCTAGAGGTGTGCAGTTACAGCAGGACTTGTCCACGGATGACGGGCAATACGGCGGGCAGCGTGACTCTCTGGGCAAAGGAACATGGTGAGTTTCCCTGGGGGCTCGGGCAAGACAGCCCCGGAGGTAACACACCTGACGGCCCTCCCTCTCCGCCAGCCATGGGAAGAGGCTGCATGTGGGGCAGCGAGGAAGGTCCTGCCTCCGGCGGCTAGGGCAGCCGACCCATGCTCACTAGTCACCAGAGCAACCAACACCATGCCTCACAGCTCTCACATCGGAGCTAGAAAATTCTGGATCATGGGAATGTGCGCCCCTTTCTGGAGCTTCACTTTCTGTGTACTGTTCACAGTAATGGATACTAAAAGACAGCCTAATGAAGGGCTTGTCTCTTTCATAGAATGAGGGCCTAGAGCAGATATTTTCCATGTGTAGAACTTAGGGAACACTTTCTGATGGAATGGGAAAAGGTACAAACATTATGCGTTCTGGAAAGCTCTGGGAACAATCAGGAGGGTTTACTGCTCTCCCTTCCCACCTCTCTATGCTGAGCTCTAGGGACTCCTACCTAGTGGACTGTTTTCTCTGGTTTCCAGCGGCTCATCCATCACTACATTGGAAGTGTGTGTGGGGGGGAAGGGATAGGGTGCAAAATTTGGGGGATATCTAACTAGTCAAAGTCTAGAAATTGGCTAGAAACAGGGATACGATGAATATAGGACTGTACATTATGATGTGTACAAAATGAGCCAGGCAAATCATCAGCCAACCTCAAGGGGACCATAGGTGGGAGGAGGTGTGCGAAATAGAAGGGTACATTGTTAACCTGCCAAAAGGCAAATTGTTACAAATACCATAAGACAGAAAAAAGTATAACAATGCCTAGAGAGAGGGAAGGATTCATGCAGGAAATATTTGACCTTTTAAGGATAGAAAGAATTCTGAAGACTGGCTCTGTGTGTGTGTGTGTGTGTGTGTGTGTGTGTACACATACCCAGAGGACACACACAGAGGGGTAAGACAGAGAACACTGGGAACAAAGGTGAGGAAGTGGAAGAGTCTGAGGCATGCTCAGAGCACAAGGCGAGTATGTTCAGAAAAATGCTAAGTGGAAGACAGGATGCAGTGCATTTAAAACTTCACAAAGACCTTTTTGGCTACTGTTGATGAATAACATCTTAAGCAAAATACATGATTAACAAAGGTAACAGTGGTAATAGAACATCCAATATGATATCCAATAAATTCTGATACCAAGTTAAAGAAGTGCTTTTCTTGAATTTTCTGTCAAATCTAACCTCAAAAAAATTCCAATTTGGGACACTCAGGACCATTTTTCTATTAACGCTTCATTTTAAAAAGTCATGTTGGGGTTTTCTTGTCTGGCTCCCTCCTATTCAAGGGTTATTCCTTCATGGAGCAACAAGACTCTCGTGGAATCATTTCTGCTATGGCAGTGCCAGGCTAGAAAGATGCTCAGAGGTTTATTTTGTAGACTTGAATATGGGAATAACATTTAAATGTCTGCATTCCCCAAGGTGCCCAGTACACCATCTTCCCTACAGGAAATACTCAAATATTTACGGGAGAGATGAAAGCAGGTAGGCAGAAAGACGGACCGATAAACATGAAAAAGTTCTGAATTTCATGCTGTTGTCGTTTCTGATAGGACTAGCATAGTGACCATCACTGCTACAGTCACTCTCTCCCTGAACTTCCTTGTCCCCCCTCATTTCTTCTCCTTTTTCTTCCCTTGTATCCTGCATTGACCCGCTTGATTCTGTTCACTCTGGAGATGGCAAGGCCCATCAGTGCCCACTTCGCTTGGCTTCCATTACAGCACAAAGTGCTCAGCCCTGGCTGTGCTTACTCTCACCTGGAAACTTTTAAAACTCTCAAAGTCCAGGCCAAACCCAAGCCAATCATACCAGAAGCACAGGGGCAGTACCCAGGAGTCAGCATTTTTCAAAGCTTCCCAGGGAATTCGAATGTAGAGTCAAGGTTGAGACAATTGCGGTTGAGTAGTGCTTCTCAGACCTGAGTGGGCACCAGTCACTGGAGGCTTCTTAACACTCAGATTGCTGGGCTTTAGCCCTGGAGATTCTGATTCAATAGGACCTGGGTGCGGGGAGGGTCCAAATTTCTACCCAGTTCTCAGGTGACGTTGATGTGGCTGGTCTGGGGACCACACTTTGAGAACCCCTGTGTTTGAGGGAGCTGTGCATGAAGCAGAAATGCAGCATCTTAACCCCTGTGTTATCACTGATCTCCTCTACACATGGGATTTATGGCTAGCTCAGTTTGGTGTTGAGGCGTGGAAGGCAAATGTGCCTTGTCTAAGACCCCAGCACTTGAGATGGGGTGGGGAAAACCAAAAGACAAACACTGCTTTTGTTTGGCTCTGTGCTTTATCCATGAGAAAGAGGTTTGGGTGGCCAAAGAACAGTGAGCAATAAAGGATAAAAACTCATTTTCCCCAAAGTAGAGAAACATTTCCACCTGCTCATCCATGGCTCAAGAATGGAAAACTATGGCTTACATCAAAGAAGGTGCCTGCGTGCTCCAGGATCAGCTGATTGGAATCAGGCTTGTTTTTACAGTAGGTGACGTACATCTGAAATTTGTCTGCCTAAAAAGAACAAAGGCAATCATAGGTAAGCATCCATCCGCTGCTCCCTTCTGTTGACTGGGCATGAAAGGCCCAGCAAGGGCTGTGCGGTTAAGCTCTCAGATATCCTGCGGCCCAGGTTTATCTGTGGCAAATGTTCTGGGCTTATCTGGCCCATGTTCCCCTCCCAAACTTTGGGATGCTTTTCTCCTACGTGCAGGTGGAGAAAGCTTGCTGAAAGTGAGCTTATTGATACCAGTCTGTGTTAGAAAGAATTAGAAAAACCAATTTGCATAATGTGTTTTGAAGCTGGCTGGAATTTATTTAGACATTACCCCTTTTTTGGATGACCTACAATTGTGCTTCCCCTCTTGAGAAATGACAGCATTTGCACTAAAAACAAAACCCGGAGAACGAAAATGAAGTGTGCCCTCCGAGGTAGATCTGCTCGTATTCCAAAGGTCTCTGTGGGGGTAGTTTGTAGGACACGCCAAGCGACAACGCTGTCATCTCCAACTTCCCAGAAGCAACGATGGGGGGAAAGAAAAGTAAGGTGACCCTCTGGGGAAGGGCCTGAACGATGAGTCCTAAGCAGATTTTTACTTCAAGCCAAGAACCTTGAGCTTGGTGAAAATTCATTTCTTGTCTCTCTTGGGACCCTCTGGGTCAATGCTACGTGTCCTTACTCCTGGGAAAGGTGTGTGTATTCTGGCCACCCAGTACCTTTCCCATTTGTGAAATGCAGTCAGTGTTGGTGCCCACAGAACACTTGGGATGTCCTCTTCTGAGGAAGCTGCCCAGATATGTGTTAATTCTCGTAGGACTCATCCATGCCAGCACTTGTCCAACTGCTTTTCATACATATTAACTCACCTGATTCTCCTGAGAACCCTATGTAGTGAGCTCTATTACTATCATCCTCATTTTACAGATGTGAAAACTGTGGCACAGGCTGGTTAAGTAACCTTAAATTCCCACGGCTAGAAAGTGGCAGAGCCCAGGCCAGCTGACTTCAGGCTTCCTGGTCATAACCATCGCCTTTCAATACACTAAAACAACTCCTTCTACCCTCCTATGTGAAGATTATGGGATTTAAGGAAGTCACCTTGGGATAATTCTTGGCAAAATGTGCATAGTTTATGCAATCATTGAAGGTTTTCTGAAACCAATTTTAGGGTTTATATACTACATGGGAGGCATTTATCATCCCTAAGACATGCTGATAAATCATACTTACAGTTGATTGTTAGGCAGATCCATAAATTGTATGAAACAAGATGTAAAAAAAAAAAAAAAACAAAAAAAACCCTTCACTTGTTTTTTCTCTACATTGGCTATGCAAGGTATCATAAATTGTTTATCAGCATTAATATGAACTGTGCATGGGCTCATGTATTTAGAGGTAGAAAAATGTATTAACACAAATAAGATGGCAATCTAAGACTCCTTAAGAAATGAGAATATGCCAGGAAGAAAATGTTAAGGTTTCATGTAAAAAAACAAACAACTTAGGTCATAAGTTGTGGGACTGGCTATGATATTTACTACATGTCAGTGGACTAGTCAACCTTCTAGGTCAGCTGAATTGTTTTCCCCTATAAAATATACAGCATAACCATAGCCCTACCTAGTCCATAGGCTGTTGAGAGCATAAACTCTCTGAATCATGAACACATTTTGAAAAGTAGCCCATTGTGAGTGGAAATTATGATAATTATTAAAAAGAACTCCTAGAAGGAGTTCTACGTTTAGATGCATTTAGTATCACAGGTGGACCTCCCTGGAGATGTTTGTACTACCACAAATCTGAGCTCAAAATAACATGGCGTGGAGATGCTAATAAAGAGTAAGGTTTCCATTAATATAATCAGAACCTGGTACATTCAGCCCATTTACTTGGCCCATGACAACAGCACCAGGAAAGAAAATGATTAGACATGAATTTTGTAGGTCAGAACTGGGATGGATACCCATGGAATCTGTTCTTCTCTATTAAGGAAGAAAATGTGACCAATTATTTGGCAGATTGCTAAAGGTCTAATTCCCCAATCCTTATCCTGTAAAAACAAACAGAACAAAACCAGTGCATAGAACTGGAGTAGTACCTCTATCAAGGGTGGTGGCATTATTCTATTCTCCTGATGTCTCAATTTTAGAAAGGTCTCCGAGAACTTAACGTGGAGTTTGGACACAATGTCTAAGGACTTTTCCCAAGGAGGACTCTGCTCCTTGGGGATGGACTGCTTCTCTCAGATCTACTTCTGCTGCCTCCCGAGAATCCCTGGTCCTGTGTTAGAATGTCAGTGACACCATTCCTCAGCTCAGGCACCGAATAGTGATGCCATCTGATACCATCTGCACCCCTGGAAAGCATGGCACAGTGGGAGAAGAGGGATTTCAGGTCAGTTACCCAGGTAACAAAGCAGTGTCCCACATCCTCAGGCAGCTGCTCATACTTCTCCAACTCTTTGAGGAAGATGCTGCAAGGGAAGAGAAAAGCTGGATCAGACATCTCTGCATACTGCCTCCCTCCCCACCCAGATTATACCGAGGCCAACACAACCCCATACACTCTCCATTATTTACACATGGCTTCTCCACTCTCTAAGTGATACATGGTGAGGAGTGGCTTTAAATATATTAGAACTTATTTCATTACAATTTATATTAACTGATTAATTAGTGCTACTTAAAATTGTATTGTTTCCCTTAGGGAATTTATATTTCTCAGGCTGAAAAGCAATTAAATATTATACTTGTGTTGGGGCTTTCACTGTAACTGCAACTATGAATCTATTTTTTATACAAGTAATCTGAACACATTGTAACAGTTAAAAAATATATAGAATAGATATCAAAAAGAATGAAATAAGTATCATTTATGAGACCAGAGATGAAGTGGAAATGTTTTGAATCCTGCAAACACTTCTTTCCAATTCTTGGCCTCCTTCTTCTCCCAGTAGTTACTCTGTGCTAAAAACTCCAAGTTACTGTTTCTGAATGCAGACATCATTAGGAAAGAAAACTCAATGGGGGAAACGTCACAATATAGTTGAAAGCTGAATTGAATTACTACAGAATCATCTGCCATTGTGGATATCCATGCCCTTGGCTCCTATCTGTGTGAAGAAGTAATGAAGGGTTGACTAAACCAACTTCAAATTAATATGTTAAGCAATTGGTCTGAGCTCAGAGAATACAAGCTCTAAAAAGCCAGCATCACTGGAATGGAATTTGCTTTTTAACAATCGTGCAGAGGTTTTAAAATAAAAAATAATTACAATGCTACAGGGAAACATACTGATGGAAATGGAAGATGTAATCTTTACAAAGTGCAATGTGACAATATCTACCAAAATTTTAAAAATGTACTTATCTTGTGTTTCTGCAACTTTAATCCTGGAAAATTTCCTATATATTTTAATTTACATATGTATAAGATGATGTAAACATGTGCATTCATGGTGGTACTGTTCATAATAGTAAATGGTGGTCTGAGGGGACAAAGTAACTGGTATATCCACAGAACTGGATATTACACAGCTATGAAAAAAAATGACAAGGCTTTCTGTGTTTTCATATGAAGGATCTCCAGGGCAGGCTGTTAAGTGAAAAAATGCAAGGTGTGGAAGAATGTATATAATATGCCGCCTTTTATCTAAGTACGGAATATGTATTCTTATTTCCACCCCAAGAAACTAATGGTCAAAGGGTACAATGTCAGTTATAAAAGGTAAGTTGTGAGATCCACTATACAGCATCATAGTACCTACAGCTAACAATATTGTGTTGTACACTTAAAGTCTGCTTAGAGGCGAGATGTTACGTTAGGTGTTCTTAAATAATAATAATAATAATAATAATAATAATAATAATAGGAGGAAACTTTGGGAGGTGATGGATATGTCCATGGCCTTGATGATGGTGATAGCTTCATGGTTATACACTCATCCCTAAACTCATCAAGTTTTAATATATTTAATATGTACAGCTTCTTACATGCCAATCATACTTTGATATGGTGGTTTTAAAAAAAAAGGTCATTACCATAGGAAACCAAGTAAAGAAATAGGGTGGATAAAGATAGTGGTGGGTTGGACTTCTCAATCTATATTTTTAAATTTAAGTTTGATTTTTAAAATTAATTCAAAAATTAAATTAAAAGATATAAAGCAGTTCTGAATCACTGCATTACTTACTTCTATCTTTGAAAAAAATAAATTTTATTGATTTGACCTACTCTGCCGGGCTCCTATTGTCTAAGCATTCTGGCAGTATCTTATAATTACAGTTAGTTATGGGTTCTGCACAGGTGTTACTTGTGTTCCCCCCATCAATAACATAGGAAGATGTTGTTTTTAGTTTTAGTCATATTTGGAAGGCTATAATGCAAATGACTGGTGGGATCACAGTGATATAATTTTTTGTCCACCTGTAATGCAAATTTTTCTATAATAAATGAGCATTGCTGTTGTAATAAGAAAAAGTCACTTAAAAATTTTGGGGGACTCTTATAGCAGCACCCATTTAATGATAATCATCCTTTCGCTAACATGTGAATTTTAGAGCATCCTGATTTAAATCATGGAACGGAAGTAATTATAATGCAATTTGGGCTTTCGAAATACAAATATGCAGTGCTCGAAAATCAATAAGGTGTCCTATTTCCTACTACCTTTAGAAGAACTGCAGGTGACATACATGTATTTAATATGACTTCTAAAACAGAAATAAAATAGGAGAAAATATTATATAATGCTGTGATTGAGGATCAAATTTTTTTCCAGGCCCAAAAGGAAACATCCTGTTTTTGCTGCAAGAGAAGCAGTCTGGGGGCCCCTGGGTGGCCCAGTCAGTTAGGTGTCTGCCTTTGGCTTGGATCATGATCCCAGGGTCTTGGGATTGAGCCCCATATTGGGCCCCCTGCTCAGCGGGGAGTCTGCTTCTCCCTCTCCATCGGGCTCTCCCTCCCTGCTTATGCTCTCTCTTGCTCAAATAAATAAATAAAATCTTAAAAAAAAAAAAAGAGAGAGAGAGAGAGAAGCAATCTTGTTCTCCACCATATCACCTCATCACTGAATTCTAAAAGGCATTTATTATGTGGTCCTTCTTCATGAGAAACACTAAATAATATAATATACAACATCTTCAGAAGTAGTTTTCCAGAAGGTGTTTATGTGGTCACTCAATATAAATCTCAGTGAAGACAATGAATGCCATGATGGACTGAACAGGGCCTGGGGTGGGGACTGGAATAGCGTGGTGACGGGGGAGAAAATCTGATGGGCTCTTCTAGGACAAGGATTGGTGAAAGAAAATGAGAGGCTTTAAAGAAGGAAGGACCTAGGAGAGAGCAGAGACAGAGGGGAGAAATGGGAGAATCTAAAAGCCCCTGGCAGTTGGGATAAACCATTTCAGCTTGTGGAAGACCTCTGCTTCCCCATCTCAGGATCTCACTCCAGCTCAGCTCAGCTCAGACTCCTGTGGTATTTATGCCCTTCTACTTTAGGGTGATCAAATCAACAATAAAACAGTCAGATCATGACATTCCATACAGGAGGAGACAATTCAGGGAGCATTTCCCTCTTTCCTTGACTTAGGACCCATGGTCAGTGTTTAAGGTTAACTTTAAACAAACAGTGGTAATTATCCCAATAGAACTGATAATTGATCTAGATGCTGAAGACAGTGCTAGGAATTTTCTTTAAAATCTGGACTATCTAAATAGAGCAATACCATTACTTTCTGTGATAGTAGCTATCAAAAAACCTATGGGAGGATGCTCAGTTTGAAAATTCTCAAGAAATAAAAGCACCATAAAATGAATTAAATGGATAGAATATTATTTCTGTAATGAATGCCTTTCTGGAAAATGAAGGTTTTAGCAGCAACGGCCACTAGCTCACCCTTCTACTGATCCTGTGTCTCACTTTCCTTTCCTCCCACAGCCAAGCAGAAGTTAAAGAACCAGAGTTCCCTCTTACAGTTGTGAGGGGGCTCTTCCAAAGCCACATTTTCCTCACCTTTGAATAACAACCTCGTGGGGTTGTTGTGAGGATTTAATTAATCCATGTGGGTAAAGAGCCCACCCCAGTGCCTAGCATACAGTAGACTCTAAATAAACATTAGTTCTTTAGGACCCATACTTCCTAATCTTAATAAACTCATACTCTGATAAACATACATATTGCACACTTTCCTCCATTCCTGGAGACTCATTCCTAGGGAACTCTCTGCTAGGGGAGCCCCTGTTGGAAAATCTATAGTAGATTACCTTCCCCTAGAACATATCCTGGAAAAGTTACAAAACTGTAAGTTTGGGAAATGCTGGGCTGAGCTGCTCTCTTTACTGCAGGGCTCCTAAAATCCTATAAAATGATGAGGGGCATGATAAGTCTCCGAAGTAGATACAGTGTGCAATGCTTCCCAAACTTCTTTGTAAGTTTTGGGGGGCAGTATCAGACTTTGTCTCAAGGAACACTCCTGGAAAACCCTAGCAGGTGGTCCCCACACCTGGCTGTGCACTGTCCTCTGAGGTTTGGATCTGAGTCTCTGCATTGATCAGAAAATCTCCCTGGGTAAGTCTACTGCATCCGGTCCATAGACCAGCATTTGAAGGCAAGTGCCTCAGATTCCACTGTGCTTCTAGTTGGCAGATCCTATAATGACTCTGTATGATCTAATTTTTTAATAAAAAAATCTAAAACTTAGAAAAACTATCTTGTGCTGGGCATATCAATTCCTGACTTTGAGTAAGACATCCAGCACCATCTCAATGTGATTGTTGAAGGCAAGTGGCAATATTAAACTCTATTTTGCTTTTTAATTTAAAGCTTATGAAGATGACAGATTATGCAACTCTGATCCATATCGTTCCATCTACTTCAAATAGACATGATGAGTTTAAATTAAAGCACGAGAGGTCATAACACTCTCCACAGATGATGGAATATTCCACGTCGGCTCTTCTATAGCAACATCTTGGTCCTCACCATTTCAATAATTATATGTAATGAATCATGAGAGAAGAAGCAGAGCAAGTAGTTTAAGTGTTTATGTGAATGTCTAGGGTTCTTTTTGAAGTGAATAAAACTTTTAAAGAAATGTCAAAATCTAAGCAAAGTCATTACTCTATTAAATTACCATGATGCAATTTTTGTGCGGTTACTTTCTGAGGAAAATGCCTCCCTCTGGCTTTGTACAGAATCTTGGGAAATGAAACCTCTAGCATTCACTGATAGAAAAGCTTTCTGAGGTTTGTGATTAAGTACTATGGAAACAGCACCATTCCAGATGTACCTTGAGTCATTCTGATTTTGTTATTTTCTACAAAGGTGAATTTGGTCTATGGTCTCACTGCTTCTGGAGAAGCATATCCTTCACGGAAGGTCTCACATTGTGGTCCAGCAGATGGCCCTTTACATCAGGGGTGCAGTCTGTATTTAAAGTGAAATGTATTTGATGATCTTGTGTGTGTGTG